CAATCACCTGTACAAACAGCCACTTCCTATTACAGCCGCGACAATCACCTGTACAAACAGCCACTTCCCATTACGGCCGCGACAATCACCTGTACAGCCACTTCCCGTTACGGCCGCGACAATCACCTGTACAAACAGCCACTTCCCATTTCGACGGCTGTGTGTTTTATACACATGATAGTGGCACTGTTCAAGATGGCCACCTGTCTAAGACACCCTCATTTCTCCTCAATGGGTGGCCGTTCTTAGACAATTGCGACTGTAGGAAAAAAATGGTGACTACATTTACGTAGCTCTTTTCACTTTCTCGTGTTGACATAGGTGTATTTCCTGTCTGAATTTCAGTATTCTTTCAGAAAAGTAAGTGTAAGTGTGTTTATAGAGTTAGACCTAGCTTTAGATTTTCGTTTCACTTCTTCCCGTGATATTTGAGTTTGATGCAGTTTTATGGCTGTCTTCAGAATCCTGCTCCACGTCGCTGACTTCCGACAGTGAGGATGACGGGAGCCGAGTCCAGCTGGCCACAAGTAAGTCAAGTTCTGGCAACCTTTGGTTCACTGGTCAGTTAACTGACAGGAAAACAAAAATGTTTTTTAAGCGTTCTCAGCTGTGATCTATTTGCAGTTTTGAGCCGTCCCATTGCAGTGTATCTGGTCATAACTCAGGCATAAGGTTCACTTTATAATAATATATAATATGTGAGGCAGTGTGGTGGAATCAGGCTCTCGTCAATATAATCAAAGTGAAGAAACTTGCATTTTTCCGCAGGTTTGTGACTTTCAGTGACAATTCTAGAGATACAAGATTTCAATTTGGTGAGGACTTACTTCACTACTGTTTGCTGGAGGGGATAAACTGGTGTGTCCAAAAGTGAGGACAGAACGCAGTTGCCTCAGTCACATTGTAGAACTGACTGACTGACTGACTGACTGACAACATGATGGGCTATTGGTCTATTGGTGGGATAGAAAAAGATACAGAGCTCGGTGGGGTTTCCTTGATGTTTACAGCATGATATCGTCAGAGGGAGGTGCACAGATGTTTTGTGTTGTGTGTGTGTGTGTGTGTGTGTTTGTGCTTACTTGTGTGTTATGTGTGTGTGTGTTTGTGCTTACTTGTGTGTTATGTGTGTGTGTGTTTGTGCTTACTTGTGTGTTATGTGTGTGTGTGTTTGTGCTTACTTGTGTGTTTGTATGAGTATGTGTTTATGTATGTGTGTGTTTGTGCTTACTTGTGTGTTTGTATGAGTATGTGTGTGTGTGTTTGTGCTTACTTGTGTGTTTGTATGAGTATGTGTGTGTGTGTGTGTGTGTGTGTGTGTGTG